GTATATAAGATCGCTTTTGTGTTCGTAGATATGTATGTTTTCTTTTCAAATTTCTGCAAGTTTCCCCAATATTTTGTGAGGAGGAGTCATGACAGTTTATTTTATATATACCTACTTCAGAATTTATTAATGTTATTAATATTTTTGTTCTGGTCATATGCACAATAGTTTGGGATGTGGTTGTAATTATTTTGATATTGTTAATATATGATGAATTGTTTTGGATAGCAGATATTAAGGAGTGAGTAGGTAGTTTGATATATCTATTTTTTAGTTTATCATCATTGTTATTGTTAATGGTGTAACGAATTTTTTGCAGCTGCATATTCTGTATGGCTCTCTTTTAGCATTGTGGATGAAATAATGAGGATATTGCATATTTTTGCAGTTAGCTCGATTAATATTTATGAACGTTTCTTAAATTTCAAATTTTATAAAACTGACATTTTTACTTTTGTTGATAAATATTTGTTGAAAAATATGATCCTTACATTTGTCTTGATGAAGTCCATCAGGAGACAAAACAAAATATATATATATATATATATATATATATATATATATATATATATAAGACTGGACAAAAAAGTAATGTACATTTCAATTAACACCATATTATTATTATTATTATTATTAATAATATTATTATTATTATTCTCTATTATACCTAACGTCGTGTGTTTGTTTATTTATTTAAAAAATAATATAGAGTTCATTATTTAAAAAAAAAATAAATAAATAAAGCGTTTAGAGGTAATTTGATAAAAATCATCTGAGGATACTGTAAGGTTGAAACCAAGGTAGCGAATTCAACTGACCTCCTGATTTTTAAAGTTGAAAGTTCTACATGTTATTGTTACTTTTATTTTATTTATTTACGCGTGTATTGAGCACTTTTTAATACCACTGCTTCCTGGTCTGATTCAACTCTGACATTAACCTTTTATGGATTAATTTGCAGTGTAAAACCCGCACTCAATTCGCATTAAAACTTTCCAAAATATATTTATGTGTAATTCTAGATGCTCCATTCGAATCTGGCTTGATAAAGTTGATAAAATCAACCGTTTTGGAGTTATCGACAGTGAAATTTGGGATTCAATCGCGTCGTTGGTGGCCGCCATTACTCACGTTGTTTGCATAAATTCGCTACGGAATGCTAAACGCGGAAGACTACGGAAGGCTAAGCTCGGAACTGATCTTTCTTGTCCAAATTTCTCGCAATTACTGCGCACGAGAACTATTTACGTAGACGCGCTCAATTTGTGCAATGATACCTACACTGATAGCTATTCTGTATCGAATGTATACAAACAACGCCCGTAATCGCTGCCCGCGACGTGAATGAATCCAAACTTTAACATGTAAATATTCTGGAAATTTTAATGCGAACTGAGTACGAGTGTTACACTGCAAATTAATGCTGATTGATTGATATTGTTTAGTGGCATATCAACAACTCTATAGGTTATTTAACGCCGAAACAGAATTATTTTGAACACAATTTTATGGCTTCAACTAAATATATTGTGAATGTATGCCATCAACTACAGATAAAATGTATTGCTGGTCACTTTGTTTTAAATATATAGTGTTGGTAATATGAAATTTTGGTAGGTTGATTTTGTTTCAGAGCACATCAACCTCCATGGGTTATTTAATGGTGAGATCTAAATATTTTGCACGTAATTTTATGATTTAAACTACAGATATTTTGTACATAATTATATACTTTCTGAATAAGGATATGTTTTTATAAAATATATATTTTGTAGATCATGAACTCTGTTGTTGCTCAATTTATCAAAATTGGAGATTTACTATTTGCCCATAGCTGGGACCCTAACTAGGTTAGTGTAGTGAAACTAGAAAGAACAGCAGTTGAGGTGGTTCCACGCTCCTCAAAACCCTCAATCTCCCGATCAGAGGCCTTGCTGCCTGATGTAGCTTATTGTCATACCCAGAACGATATATATATATATATATATATATATATATATATATATATATATATATATATATATATTGAAAGTAAAGTCTGAAGATCCAGAGAAAACTAAAATTTCTGGTGAAATAAATTATAACTAATAGAGCCTAAAAGTGGTCTGTTTTTTCTTTAAATTAAATTATTCGCTTTGACTTCCATCCTCCTTGGGATTATCCATACGGATTACCAAGATTTTCGTTACTTTTATCCCAGCGCTTTCGGCTATACATTTAGCCATTTTCAAAGATTAAACATTTTAACTGTTAAATAAGACATAGTTTGTTGCATGTATGTATTTATATAATGTTTTAATTTTTCTTATTTAACAGATAAAATATTTAATCCTTGAAAATGGAAAAATAATAAAAAAATTATTAGATCGCATGGGAAATTGTATAAACACTAAATAAAAGCACCTCGTCTGTCGCATTTAATGAAATGCGTATATTTATATATATATATATATATATATATATATATATATATATATATATATATATATATAGAGAGAGAGAGAGAGAGATAGGTAGATAAGAGATGGAATAATATGCAGATTGCCAAAAACTCATCATATGTGTTTATTCAGTTCTTTGTCGATATCGATTCAAATGAAATCACATAGCGTTGCGTCAACCGAAATGAGGCGACAACTTTTGATGGCGTGAACAGGATTCCGAGCCATGTTTGGAGTTATTGACATTTCACAGAAACGAGAATGATGGTTGTCTCGGTGAAATACAACTCCTCAGAAGATCCACAAATCTATCGCTGGTTTTTTTTTCCCCCGCTTTTCGTCTCTCTAGAAATGGAACGAGAATCATTTCACTGACATGTCGCAATTCGTAATTTGATTTATATAAGCGTATAGATCTACGAAGAGGAAGGCAAATATTCACACGTATTTGGATGTGACATTTAAACGAAAACAACTTGTAAATGATTCTTGTCAATGTATTTTAAGAATGTGTTGTAGAGTATTGGTTACATTTATCTTTTTTTTTCTTCTTTCTAATTGGATTTGTTTCAGTTTCATTGTTCTTTCACTTTTCTCTTTACCATCTCTCTATTTATTTCGTTGTTAAATCCTTTCTCTTTTCTTTAAATATCTCATCTCTTACTGATTTCACTTAATACATAACCTTCCTTTCCTTTTTCCTTCTTATTGCTCATTTACAGCCATTTTTATCTTCTTTCTTTCTTTCCTTCTTTCTTTCTTTTTTCTCAACGCTCAATTGCTTTCATCTTTCCTTCTTTCTTTCTTTCTTTCTTCTCATCTAACAATGGGAATCAGCTTTCTTTCTTTCTTCTCATTTTCCAATTGGATTTATCTTTCTTTCTTTCTTTCTTTCTTTCTTTCTTCTCATCTTCCAATTGGATTCATCTTTCTTTCTTTCTTTCTTTCTTCTCATTTTCCAATTGGATTTATCTTTCTTTCTTTCTTTCTTTCTTTCTTTCTTTCTTTCTTTCTTTCTTTCTTCTCATCTTCCAATTGGATTCATCTTTCTTTGTTTCTTTCTTTCTTTCTTTCTTTCTTTCTTTCTTTCTTTCTTTCTTTCTTCTCATCTTCCAATTGGAATTAGCTTTCTTTCTTTCGTTCTTTCTTTCTTTCTTTTCTTTCTTTTCTTTCTTTCTTTCTTTCTTTTTCTTCTCATCTTCCAATTGGAATTAGCTTTCTTTCTTTCTTTCTTTCTTTCTTTCTTTCTTTCTTCTCATCTTCCAATTGGATTCATCATCTTTCTTTCTTTCTTTTTTCTTTCTTTCTTTTCTTTCTTTCTTCTCATCTTCCAATTGGAATTAGCTTTCTTTCTTTCTTTTTTTTCTCATCTTCCAATTGGAATTAGCTTTCTTTTCTTTCTTTTCTTTCTTTCTTTTTCTTTTCTTTCTTTCTTTCTTCTCATCTTCCAATTTGGAATCAGCTTTTTTTTTTCTTTCTTTCTTTCTTTCTTTCTTTCTTCTCATCTTCAAATTGGAATCAGCTTTCTTTCTTTTCTTTCTTTTCTTCTTTTCTTCTCATCTTCCAATTGGATTCATCTTCTTTCTTTCTTTCTTTTTTTTCTTTCTTTCTTTTCTTTCTTTCTTCTCATCTTCCAATTGGAATTAGCTTTCTTTCTTTCTTTCTTTCTTTCTTTCTTTCTTCTCATCTTCCAATTGGATTCATCTTTCTTTCTTTCTTTCTTTCTTCTCATCTTTCTTTCTTTCTTTCTTTCTTTCTTTCTTCTCATCTTCCAATTGAATTCAATTTTCTTTCTTTCTTTCTTTCTTTCTTTCTTTCTTTCTTCTCATCTTCCAATTGGATTCATCTTTCTTTCTTTCTTTTCTTTCTTTCTTTCTTCTCATCTTCCAATTGGAATTAGCTTTCTTTCTTTCTTTCTTTCTTTTTTTTCTTCTCATCTTCCAATTGGATTCATCTTTCTTTCTTTCTTTCTTCTCATCTTTTCTTTTCTTTTCTTTCTTTCTTTCTTTTCTTTTCTTCTCATCTTCCAATTGGAATTAGCTTTTCTTTCATTTTTTCTTTGTTTTCTTTCTTCTCATCTTCCAATTGAATTAGCTTTCTTTCTTTTTTCTTTCTTTTTTTCTTTCTTTCTTTCTTTCTTTCTTTCTTCTCATCTTCCAATTGGATTCATCTTTCTTTCTTTCTTTCTTTCTTTCTTTCTTTCTTTCTTTCTTTCTTTTTCTCATCTTCCAATTGGATTCATCTTTCTTTCTTTCTTCTTTTCTTTCTTTCTTTCTTTCTTCTCATCTTCCAATTGGAATTAGCTTTCTTTCTTTCTTTCTTTCTTCTCATCTTCCAATTGGATTCATCTTTCTTTCTTTCTTTCTTCTCATCTTCCAATTGGAATTAGCTTTCTTTCTTTCTTTCTTTCTTTCTTTCTTTCTTTCTTTCTTTCTTTCTTCTCATCTTCCAATTGGATTCATCTTTCTTTCTTTCTTTCTTTCTTCTCATCTTCCAATTGGAATCAGCTTTCTTTCTTTCTTTCTTTCTTTCTTTCTTTCTTTCTTCTCAACGTTCAATTGCTTTCATCTTTCTTTCACTTTAAACATTAGTCCTAGTTGTTTCTCATTCCCTTTCATATTTCTTATTGACATATTTTTTTACATTATTTACATTATTCGTACTATTGTCCTCATCTTTGTCGTCATATTTATTACAACATTTCGGCCGTAGTACGCTCCGGCCTTCTTCAGGTGGTTGGAATGTCGAACTGAACGCTTTATTTCGCTTACTGGGGTCTCGTTTAATGAATGACAGTTATCAGTTATCTCTTGTTAATTTCCCTCTGAAAGTTCTCCACTGCCTTAAATGGGTATTGAACTCACACTCTTTGGGTCCTGTCACTGGATCTAGCCAACGCCTTTATCCATTGTGCCATGTGTCCTTGAGGATAAAGGTCAGCTCAGGAGATTTTTATGGCCTAGCATATGTGCTGATTCCTTAAGGGTTCAGTTCGACATTCTAATCACCTGAAGAAGGCCGCAGCGTACAACGGCCGAAACGTTGTAATAAATATGGCGACAAAGATGAGAACAATAGTCCGAATAATGTAAATAATGCACATAATACCTCATCTCAGAAATATAGACAGATATTGACATATTTTTCATTTTTATTCCCATTTTCTTTTTCTTTCTTTTTTTTCAAGATAATTTTGCAAATATACGTGTGTCTTTCTCTTCGTCTTGCAAAGAATAAAGCTCCAGGTAATCTTTTTAAAAGTTCATTTCATTGCATCCATCCTTTTCGTTGTCTTACTTGTAAAGCGTAGCGAAATGATGGGTTGTATTTAATGATCCATACCTGTGTTGGTATATCACAAATATTACTTTTGTGTGATTTCTGTTGGTTTAATAATTGTAAACTATCGCAATTTAACGAAAACTAAATTTCAATTTATTATGTACCAATTTATTATCTCTCGAAAGAGAAAACAAATAAACTACTGAATTTGATGGCCTCAAAACCCCAACCTTTTCCTCTAAAATATTCAATAAATATCTCTTGGTTTAATATGCTAAGTTTTGGTAAGCTAATATTTACCCAGTTAACGAGGACTACTTGTTATTTTACTTAGACTAATTCCATTCAAACTATACTTTAAAATACAAATCTTCGTGTTTTCTTGATGGCAGACACAGAAAAGAAAATACAGATTCTGAGCAATATAGTAAAAAAAAACAAACGATAAGAATTGTAATGGTAATGGCAAATATTAACTGTTTCCTTATAAGGAAACATTCAATATTCATTGACCGAGAATCTACTGCTATGTTAGGTTTATATTTATAAAATCTTTCTATTGAAATAATTTCTCAGGGGAATACACCCTTATACAAATTAATTGAAACAACCGTTTTATTTTCCTTTCTTTCACCATAGGGTCAGTTTTAGACCCACTGGAATGGCAGGGTGTAATTTTTTTTTTCCACAGATTAGGCCATTTGCGGTCGTGTGCAGTAATATGAATATATTTTCGGGATGTATGATGAAATTTGTTTGCCCTTGAAAAATATTACATCATCTTTGATCGCATCAAATTTTTATCACGCCCAGACATTATTGTCTCGACCCATTGTCTGCGATGAATGTTACTCGAAGGAAGCGTACGAAAAATATAACGCTGAATGAACGCACTTGGCGAGCCATAACAGTGAGCAAATCAAAGTACTATAGGCTGGCCCGGAAACTCTCCTGAATTAAATCCAATCGAGAATATGTGGTCAATCTGCAAGGAACGACTTCGTGGAATGGACATACTAAGTACTAACATGTGCACTGGGTCACGTTTTGTTTCATTTAATTTACACAAGGATGTAGGTTTCTCTAGCCCAGGTTCTGTTATTGATCCTTCCAGTATTGACGGGTGCTTCCTTCCTAACATTTTGTTGTAAGTAGTGTGCACCGTCAACATCTTGATTATGTCATTATTGTCTCTTCGAGTTACATGTGCTATTCGTTTTAGCTTCTTCTAAAGTTGAAAGTCTTTAAACTACACATAATTTTAGAAAAGGATAGAAAATATAGTTGTCAGCAAGACATAAAAATAAAACATAGTAATAGGTTTAAATAACTGAGAGTTGCTTTAACAGAAGATGGAAAACACGGCGGAAAATGTCCTTAGAAACTGTTATGGATTCCGTGAATGGAATCCTGCACAAATAAATAAACAACACCAATAATTGAGATAGAAAAATAAGTGTATTAAACGTAAGAATACAGACTTGAAGTAAAGATTAGTAGTCCAGGAATGCGGGTTAGTAGAAAATATATGTACAAGTCTCTGTAAGTAAAGCCGTAATCATCTCTCTCTCTCTCTCTCTCTGGACTCTCGTATAACTCTCTGAGAACAACCTGTGTCTGTCTCCGTATCTCTCAACCTGTCTCAACGTATCTCAACGTATCTCGTTATTTAATATCCCACCCACGAGGAATATATGTGGCACAAGGCCGAGTTTAAAGTGGGTTTCTCCGAGATCGTAGGCTCGGCTAAAAATATACCCTTTGAACCCGCCTAGACGGGTTCAGGGCCTGTCTACCTCCCCGGACGAAACCTTGCCCTTCGGTAAAGCTTCGTCCGGGTTCCTCTCTGGCAAAGCAGAGAGTTCGACAGACGTCGAGACTGTATCGCGACGTATCTCGGTATTTAATATCCCACCCACGAGGAATATATGTGGCACTAGGCCGAGTTTAAAGTGGGTTTCTTCGAGCCCGTAGGCTCGGCCAAAAATATCCCCTTTGAACCTGCCTAGACGGGTTCAGGGCCTGTCTACTTCCCCAGACGAAACCTTGCCCTTCGGCAATGCTTCGTCCGGGTTCCTCTCTGGCAAAGCAGAGAGTTCGACAGACGTCGCTAACATTCAAGCACTGTATCGAGACGTTTCTCAACGGCAGGTATTCTCTCTATCAGTATAAGTATACTTTGGACGAGTCCATCTTATGTAAAAAGGGGAGAGCCCCACAACAGAAACAAAGAAACGAGTGCTTAACTGGTATTTGACATCAATATGGCAGTGAATACCGGACAATTAACTCATTGATGACGTCATGACCCGACGTAACAGAGAGGTGGGGCTGCAGAAAAATGAATACCATATACAGAACATTGAACAACAATGAAATTTTAAGGTAAATGGAAACAATAAAGACACTTATATTTACAATCAGAAGGTGACAGTTGAAAATTCTAGGACACATAATGAGAGAATAGGGCTTTCGATAATTTGACACAGGTTATAATAAAAGTAAGAAAAGCAGAGGAAAGCATCGTGTAACTTTCCTAACGAGCTTGCATAAATAAATAGCAGATTTTTTTTACAATAATTTTCACGTTATACAAGGCCCGAGAGACACTCGAAGTAGAGGCTAAACCGAACCAGAAGCACATATTATGAGGTTATGTGGGGAAGATATCTGTTAAGCCTAGACTTGAACAGGTTAAGATTAATAAATTAAAGGTTAATAAATTTTAGAACTGAGAACGCGATCGAAATGTTTCTATTTCTACATCATTGCTTCGGGACTTTCTAAAGCCCTATAAAACATATCGCCGAAGAGGGTAAGTAGATAAATACATCAGATTCATTCCTGTATCACTAACTGAATCTATTTGTTTAAATTCAAGAACAGCATCACATGACATTTGAAACCTCATCAGGTGCATGACAAGGATGAAATGCAGGTCCCAGTCTATTTAACCCTATCTTAGACTATGTCCTGCGTATTTACAAACACACACATGAAGAGATAGTTATAGATCATTTAAGCCTATCATATCACATCCCAAACAAATCTACCAATATAAGACAAGGATGCTGCTTTCTCTGCCGATGCCAATGAACTGATTACAAGTTGTGGGCTATGCTGATGAAATGGTTATTCAATGTTGGGATAAGAATGATCTTAAACAAAAAAATCAACATCCTTTATCAAATAAACCATTCGCCCTTGCATGGAACACTGCTGCCATATATGGTCTGGAACCCTCGCTGTTCGTCATAAGGTCCTCGACAAAATCCAGAGACGGATATGCAATGTGATTGGCCTTAGTCAGGCATCTCGTCTACAGTCGCTCTCTCACAGACGTGTCGTCGCCTCCTTCTGTCTTTTCTACAAATACCTTCACGATAACTGCTCCGACGAGCTACTTTCGCTAGTTCCCAGATTGTATGAATTTAAACGTGCAACTAGGCTGGCATCTCGATCCCACACTTTCACTGTCGAAACAGTTAAATGTAACCGCCTCTTCTGCTCCAACAACTTCATGTCTCGCACCTCTCGCCTGTGGAATTCCTTTCCTATTACATGTTTCCCTGATAGCTATAATCTCCAACTATTCAAATGTAATATCAATCGACATCTTCAGATGCCTTGATCTATTCTCCGCCCTTCTCTTCATCCTTTCCTCTATCACGCCTTTTTACTCTCGCTCCCAATCTCTGTAACCCCTTGCGTGCTAGTGGCACTCACGTCTTGCTTGGGGTGAAATGCTTAAATAAATGTTTCAAGAAATAGAACTCAAAATAAACCGTTCCAAAACAGAAACTACAAACAGGAATTGAAATGAAAGCAGTGATGGAACCTACTCTAAATCCATCATAAAATTTCAGTATGTGGAATTAGTAAATACTAAACATTTTAAATAACTCGGTGTACGGATCAGTTATAACAAATTAGTTATAGGAGATACGGAAATTTGAACATAGAATTTGCCTCGCTAGAGCTAGTTTCGCTCAACACCGCAAAGTCGTGATCGAGTCATGAT